CTTATAAAATTACGTGAATTAAGATCGGAATATTTTGGACAAGGCAGAGGAAATGAACAACATATTCAATGCAAAATGTATAAGCTTCGACGATACATAAGTCTCTAACCCGATTATGTATGTAGACTGCAAAATTTAGGTTGGTAATATAGACTTATGTATTACAGAACGAATCCATGGATAAATATTTATTGGGCGTATTATTTCTTAAAGGGTCTACTTAAAATTTCTGAAGCTTTTTTTACTATTTTTCCGCTTTGCAAATACCTCCCTGAGTAGTTTGAACATTCGCAAAAATGACTTCAAAACAGGACTGGACCCTGCTCAATGATGCGGCCAACATTTTTGGCAAGCTCTCCTTCCTAGTGAGATTCACAGTTGATACAAAACGTCGCAAAATTTACACGAAATCCAAAAAAGTTCCCTACATTAAACGATTTTTCTTGTTTACACTGGTTTTCTGTACAAATGGAGTTTTTTCGTTTTATATCCAAGCATGGAAAATAGTTTTTGGAGACCAGGCAGGTTTACATTCCGATGTTGTAAATATTTTGAGAAGTTCCACAATTTTAGGGGGCACGATTATCACATCCGCCCTTCTTCCGGGTATGTTCATGTTCGCCCTGGCTCCTGAAGTGGTGGCGAATTGTGTAAATCCGTTCGAAGAAATATTTTCTATAGTTAAAGGTAAGCACTTTAAAGGCATCCCTGTATGTAACAAAGCTAAGCGGATATTTGATTATAACCTCAAATGTCAATTACTTCCCATGTCCAAATCATTTTCAAAGTCTCGACCCTACAATATCCAAAAGTCTATTTTCATACTAAAATCTTGTCCTCCAATATCGAAATATCCGTTTACATAAATACTCATAACGCGCTATCCAACATCCAAAAGTCCATATCCATGTAAAAATCCATCATCTCCAATATCCAAACATCCATCTCTATAACCAATCTATCCAATCCAATATCCAAACCCAAAATGTTTTGCCCCCCCCAATATCCAACATCCGCTCTGCTCTGTCTGAGTAAGAACATTTGCAAATTATTAAAATTAAATTTACAGTATCCTGTCACGACAAAGGGATTAAACAAATTGGGAACGCTTCCCAAACGTGGGCCGCATTTCGTAAAGTGTGTCTCATTTTACCCACGATAATTACACCCATCGGCGTTGCATTAACCGTCCTTTTAAATATCGACCCAACCCGTGAATTTGCCGACTTCCTACTTCCATCCAGATTTCATAAGAAGAAAGGCATCGGCATCCTGGTAATTTCGATTTTGGGTGGCACAAAGTTATTTGCTGCACTTGAGACAGCTATATTGGTCATTGTACACTCGATTACATACAGAAGGAATGCTAGAATAACTGATGGTCTCATTGCGTCAAGATTCACGTAGTACAAGTTTTCATGAACCAATACAGCCCATATCTGTAATTTACTCTGATTTCGAATTAACCGATAGTCTAAAATTTCAATTTCAAACTGAGTTTATCTGATTTAACGTGGACTAAAATTTTCGACAAAAAATGAGTGGAAATACAAAATTATTCATATAAAGGATGGCCCAAATGTATCTCCCGAGCCATTTTTTCGCAAAAGTTTAAGATAAAATCGGCTGTAATTCCTGAACCAGTGAATGTTTTATTTTGAAATTTCACCATAAGTAGTCCAAGATGGAAGGTCGACCGTGACTCTCATAGAATTCAGACAAAAATTTCGGTTACGCAGCAATATAAAATAAACCAAAATTTGGAGAAATTGTTATATGGCGGGAAAATGGTAAGGCTACGCAGCAGCCAAAATTTTGTGAAATACAAAAAGCGGCCTGACCAATGTGGAAAGATGTCACCTACCCGAAAAACAACAATTAAGCTCAAGATTTACCCGAAAACCGAAGTTCCGTACTTAGTTGTTCAAAAGAACGAAGTGACTCAAATTGCTTGAAAATTATTAACAAGTAAATTTACGATACTACAATGTAGAAGGTTGCAAAATCAACGAATTCTAGTTAGACAACTTATAAACTAATCAGGAAACCTTTACTATCTCCATAGAACATTAATTACAGTCTTAAATTTGGAGAAATACTTCAAAAAAGTGTCGATTTTGATGAAAAAATACAAGGTCAAGAACCATGGCGTCATTTCCTCTGGACAATTGAATCCCGAATTAAGTTGTATGTAAAATTCAACCCACAAAATATGAGATACAAAACCGCAAAAAAATCTTATGTACAACCCATACGTGTGTTACAATTGGTATCGAAAATTATGGTTGCGGTTGTTTTTTTGCGCGTGGCGCAAATTCCTTTCATAGTATACAAGTATGGCATATGTCACTGTAAAGAATTTTATAGCGAAAATGCAACCTAAACACTTTGATAGCATGAGAAACAAGGAATTTTTTCCAAATGTTAGTCAGTAGTTTTCCTGCAGGATGGTCCTGCAAGTCACGCTTCAAAAACGACCATGGCGGTAAATGAAGGGCAGGGAAAAACGGTTTGGGGGAAGGGGGTGTGGTCTGCTAAAAATCCGGATGTGGGTGTTTTGGATAACCAATGGGCAATACTTTAGTAGGATATGTACATGGATCCAGAACCATGCTCAACAGCAGAGAAAACAACGAAAGTTCAAGAAAAGTGTAATTTCATACCAAAAATGACTTTGGAAAAATCATCATAGAATTTCAACAAAAGCGATGAGGACACTGTTAGGGTGAATTGTTGAAAGACCAAATACTAGAGTATGTGTGGAAAAAAACTTGGGTTCGACAAGTCACGTGGTTTTGAAAAATAGGGTCTTATTCTTTTGAAAGAAAAAGTCGGGAGATACATTTGGGCCACCCTTTACATTTGCATTTGTAAAGTTATGTATATGAAAGTTGTATTTATTTCCATCTAAAGAAAAACAATAGATTCACATTTACTCGTTTCCGATTCTAAACTGAATTTCAGTTTACAGGAAACCACGTTGTTAAAAATATATGGTGAAGCAGGATGTTGTGAGTATATAATTGGCCTTTTGAGCATCACACGTTTCTCTATAATCCACGAATTATTTATGTACGAATATGTAAAGTTCTTGCGAAATATGTAAATGTCCAAGTGTATAATTAGCCAATTAGTTTTGAAATACAACTTTCATCAACATTTTTGGCTACTGAAGCGAACAACTTTTCTTACCGCACTATATAGTAATTGACGATCTAAACTTTTTTGGCCACCAATTTAGCCCAAAATGTGTCACAATTAGACCTATTTTTATAATATGTTCAAACAACCGCATATTGGGAAAAAAATATTGTACACGTGTGCAGTTTAGTTTGTCTCCCGGTTATGTAGCAGATTTGGTATAAAAATCTATAATATATTCTGGAGCCGAATACACGGCTAAATATCTGACAGTTTATCTATGATTTATTATCATTATTCGCCGTTCTCCAAGCACTTCGAAGAAATTTCCAAAATTATTTTGGAATATTTGTCAGAAAATTTTAGAGCAAAACTTCAGGACATGAAAAATCGGCTGGTGGTCACACAACACATTAATGCACAACATACCATGCAAGGATTAGTTACTGAATTTTTTTCTGTGTGAAAGTAATCAAAATTGCCACATCAGGTCAGATAATAACTAAATTGCCATCGTATACATCTTTATACATATAACCACCCTTTCCTATGCTAGTCATGTTAGGCTTAAACAGAGTAACACGGATGACCAAAAAGCACCCACTGAGTTTTTCTTGACGTACTATATGGACGTTCCCCACATCTGTAAATAGGGATACAAAATCTGACTACAGAAGTGAAAGAATATGTTTCCGACATGTACATAAAAATATGAAATTCTCGCATTTACTGACAACGAAACAACAGAATAATGAACTTAGCACATTTATCCATCACCCATTTATAAATATTCAATTAGTTTTATTACTTCGAGTTAAAGCTTAAATGTGCCATTTGGCCTCGCACATTATAAACTACACTTGATTAGCGGCATAAAGGTTAAGCACAAAGTTAATCTTGTATGCATTAATATTAACTTGAGAATGGTGAACGTCACGAAAGTCCAAACATTAAATGTTGAACTTTGAAATTTGGATTTGATTATTACCTCATGTATGTATGTATGCTTACCGAACTTGCATAAATTAAGCAATAAAGTAACTAATTACCTAGATGATCCTTGGTTTTCCCACATTTATGTTAATCCTACTGCCATAAATTCATCCATTCTAAATTTGCATACATAAACTGCGGAGGAATTTTATCAGAACAATATAAACCAAGCACCTGGTGCAATAAATTGAAAGGAAGGGATCAGACGTTTGGCAATACTTGATAAATCTGGGCTATATAAATCACGAGACTGGGCTCAGTGTGGTATTCCCCACCATTTGACAACTGAACGACCTGGAACCTAGTCACTAATTCAGAATGAAGGCATTCATCATTTTTGCCGTGTATGCAGTCATATCCGTTAATGGAGGTGTTGTTGATCACCAAGTTTGTGGTAAGACTTGATCCGATTGAATTATACAAATTTCAGTGTTTGTCGGGTTGATGGCAAAAAGTTATTTCCGCGGTCCGACTTCCTCAAGTAGTTTCAGCCACTTTATGCGAAGACGTTGTCCATCTGCCGGTTTATCCGTCTATTTGTCAGCAAGATAACGAATGAACTGATGTAATATATATTCAGCAATAGTATATTATATGACCTCAACGTGAAGATACTTGTTATCAATCGGGCCACCCCTAGGGTCCGGGGGGTGTGATATGGGGACAATTAAATTTTTGCTGAATCTATAAGTAAAGTTAGATTAAGTATTTTCAGCAATGGACAGTTTTCCTGTCCCGTTTTCGATATTGTCAGATCGAAAACAGGTTCAGGTTGGATTGAGACAAGACAACCTTGATGGTTGGGGTGAAGTAAAATTTGGTGTGGAAATTTAGCGTTGGGAATTAGCATAGATTCACCAGAAATTATTCACTACGCTTGCCGTGGTTAAATTTTAAAGTTATTTTCTTACTTATTTTACAGGTGGGCGTGGTGTTTTTATCCAAATGCGAATCAGCGACTGTGAGGGGGCCATTGCCCGAATGACTCCAGGAGTTTCATACAGTTGCCAGGGTGATATAATCCCCTCTGCTGCCGCAGACGCGCTTCGTCTCAAAATTAGCGCCTTCTTCAACGGGGCGATCATACCCATAATTGATGCTGTCGTGCCGAACTCATCAGTTGAGGCAGGATTGCAGTACACTCTTGCTTGGACCATTGTGCCGAGCACGTTCCTGTCTGGAAGTACGGTACCCGTCACGGCCGAGGTTGTGAACGAGGAGAGTCAAGAACTTGAGGTCTGTACCGGTATTATGACGGAAATCGCAGGTGTTTGAGTTGTTAATATATATATTTTAAAATACATAATTCGAGAAGAGATATATTCCCGTGTAATAAATAAATCTACACAGTAATCTGCATTCACCGATGTATAAACTTGTTTAAAAGTACACTGTAAAAATACTTCTGAAATATACGATTAAAAAATCGGGTTAACATTTACCTAAATAGTGGTACACTCTTAAAAATCGAGCCCTAAATTTGGAAAATTGTGGCCGATGCATAATGAAATCTGCATGAATCTCATTTTCCCCAAATATCCAACCCCTTTCCCCGAGAACCGTGGGGGTGGTTTGTGTGTGACGCTAATAAGGTATTGGGTTCATCCATATATTACGTCATCAAGATTTCTCGATTTTAGCACCGACCCACTCAACATAGACATTAAGGGATAGGGAATTTTAACATGGAAAAGATAGGAAGGCCAAACCACCCACCCACTAAAATGATGACGTAATATATGGACGTTCTCATTGCGAATTTGTAGTTTAAAAAAACGTGAAAAAACGGATAAAAAAACTCACTATTTATCGGACCATACTCCCTTGAAGTGACAAACGGGAAGAGTTGTTAGGCATTTCAAAAACTCCCCGTGCTCTTATAGAAGCCATCTACGAAAGCGGAATTTGTAAAATGTTTCCCAGAGCTGAGGAATAATTTTTTTAAATAACACTTTAATTTGCTTTGGTATGTGAAATGATTGGGATAACATTTGGCTTTTTGATTTTTCCTGAAAAATTCGTAACGAACGGAATGGGAATTTATGTCATACTATGATGCAACATATGTTGGTGCATGTGCATGCCAAATTTCGCATCTCTAGGTCAAAGTTTAAAATATAGATCCGAGGGCGTGCACGCTCCTCCCTCCCCGCAACACTGTACTCTTTGGACACAGAGGATCGAGCCTGAAGGAGAATTCAAAATACAGGTCATGAGCATACCTCTTAAGCTTAACAAAGCTTTCTTATTGCAAAGAGGTTTTTAAAAATTAATAATTTGGAAAAGAATATTTAAATTAACCAAAAAGTTAATTTTATTTTTGATTTATGAATTTGTAAAAGGTCGTTAACTCATCAATACTAGATAAATACAAGTCTTATGAAACCCATCATAATCAGTAAAGTTTGATTGACAGTTAGGTACATAAATTAAAGTCATTATCAGTTCCCACGTACATATCTATTCGGAAAGCACTGTAATCTATTTACGCCTTGTGGCTGGTCCGACACAAGCATTTGCATGAGCAATATACACAGGTATATATGTATATACCTACATGTATGCGTATATAAATAATAAAATCACCACTACTTCTGGTGCATCTTAAAAGTATTGAGCATCAGCCAATGTTAATAAATCCAAAAGGCTAAATGGCCGACCTCTCCATAAGCTATAACATGTAAAGTTTCGAAATTAATTGCACGGTCATTTCCTGATGGATTTTCACAATGGCGCCAGTTTTGGAAACCTTGGACCTTGGGGAGAAATATATATTTTCAGATTTTTCAAATTCGGCCCCACCCCCTCGAAATCCAGGTCACAAGGTCAAAAAACAATTAACACTTCTTTTTCGGATTTTAAAATTTTACGACTGGATTCGACGGACCTGGGGATAAATTCTTGGCAGAAATAGTCAGGTCATCATATTCAGCGACTAGTAGGCCGCACCCCCTGCTTTGGAGTCATTGTGGGGGTGGTCAAATGTCAAATCAACACACTTAATTTAGTAAAAAAATTCCCCCCCCACTGTAGTTTCCGAAATTCAACGTCGCCAATACACGTAATCTTACCAAGGCCCCCTATGTGAACGACATTCCATTGTGGTAGATGAAAGTAAAAATGATCTCGCTGGAAGATATTTTTAGACTGATGGTGATTTTTATTAAACAACTTGGTTTTAAGGTTTTGACAGTACATAGGAGACATTCATACATATGTAATAATATGTGGTCAGAAGTGACCATACAAACTACGCAGAGTTATGCTCAAACGAAGTGTCCCTTCTAATGAGGCATAAAAACAAAAGGACCCTTTTAATCCCTTGTCCTGGGAAAAAGGTTGGAAAATGCTCAGCCCTCATAAAAGTCGACAAACTTAAAAATTGATAAATATGGAAAACTTTGTTAACATGCATATTTTAACATCCTCCCTCAATTTTTAAAGTTCAATATCGGCAGTTTCCACTGGATTTGCCCTAACCGAAATTACATTTGGCCGGCTTTTCAGAAAAAGGAAAACACAAAGAGTGGCTTGAGCAACTATTATTAGTATGCAAAGGGTTAAGATCCATTCCATTGTTGACCAGGCTGGTTCATTGCTTGTGTGGTAGTGGATTGACCCTCCTTCGTCAGTGGAACCATTGATCATCAGACTGGTCCAGTTGAAACTAGGCTGCAAGTGCCAGTTGGCTTTCACCGTGAGTAGTGGGTCGACTACCTCTTGGTGAACAAGGCTGGATTCAGTTCCTGAAAATTCCATATCATTTATCTTAAAATTAGCATTCATTGGAAGGATGAACACGCTAGCAGGGCATTGTTGCAGCTTCCTCTCAATGGTAATATTGGACCCAGGGCAGTAGATATGATATTGTCCATGGTGTAGTTTGATTTGTACAAAATCCCATGGTTCAGCAAGGTTCTTGTCATAACAGTGGTCTATGTCAAAGTGATTGGAGTTCTTTGTTTTCGCTGTTGGCGTGCATCCTCGAGTGGGCGAAACAATTAGGTCGGGGGTTGTAGGCTCCTTAACATTGATGGAGTATACGCAGTCATCTTTCGTAGAAAGGATGGCATTATGGGGTCCCTTGTACTTTAGAACGCAGGTTTCATTCTTCCTTTCAACTTTGAGATCGAAGGAGTCTGCCTCGATGAGTTGCAAATCTTTGTTAATTTCAGTTGCTGTGAAGTCCACATACAGCTTGGTTCTGTCATCTGATATTTCGCACTTTTGAGATTGTGCGAAGCTGACTGGGCAAGCATCACCACAGGGTAACGTGAAATTAAAGAAATCCATTAGTGGTGCGTAAACTTTTCCTCGCCGCCACTGTCTTGTTGCTTCTCTAATTATTTCTCTACCTATCATGAGGCGACTGGTAAGGTAGGCAATTGCGAAATTGGTGTCAATGGATTTTCCCTTGAGTTCGTCGTGATCAAGCTGATGTAGCTGAAGCTGTTCTAGTGTAGCATTTAGGCTAACCTTAAGCTTCTCAATCTCTCTTTCCGATATTTCCACGCGACGTTCCAATTCATCCAGCATCTCTCTTTGTTCCGCTACTGTTCCTTGCAAAGCAGAGATTCCAGTTTGAACAAACGAATTGATTGCTCCACCAACTGATAAGCCGGCTACAAGGACAGTCACACCAATTATTACTCCAACTGCAAGTAATGGGAGGATTCTCTTCACTCTTCGTCCAATCTCTCTGGTATGTCGCGAATTAATATGATCGGAGAATTTTCTTTTAGGGCACATTTTTTCTAGCTCATCCAGGAACATTTCGTCGTATATTTTGTTACATTTCTCGGTTGCATAGGCACTTAAATCCTTATGGAGTAGATCCTGTGTTAAAATTTCGCACGGGTTCATGAATTTGACGAGCAAGTGGGCTTGGTTATATCCCGTTGTAACTGGGATTGGACTCTTTTTCCATAGTAAAGGGATCGCATTCTGATGTGTCACCCCACAAGCTTGCGCAATAAACATAAGAAGGATGGTGAGAAGGCTCATCAGTGAGAAGTTGGCTTGGAGGGGACCTCTCTTTACTTTAGTTGGGTTGTCCTTGCTCTCCTTTGTCTCATTTCTTTCCATACTGAGATCGTGTCTCATCTTGAAATGCTGGGTCTTCAGTAGTGGCTTAGTTAATCCATCTGCAATTTGTTCACTGGTATGTACATATTCAATTGCCAACTGTCCTGTACTAACTAGCTCTCTTGTGTAGTGGTACCGGACATCGATGTGCTTGGATCTTGAGTGCATCTCTGGATTTTTGACCAATTTTATTGCACTCTGGTTGTCAACATGAATTATTGTTGGGGACTCTTGTGGGAATCCTAATTCTTCTAGAAATCGTCGTAACCAAACGGCTTCACGCGCTCCAGAAGCGAGAGATATATATTCACTTTCCATTGATGACATTGAGACAATGGGTTGCTTTTGGCTTGACCTTGAAATAACGCTGTCATTTAGCATGAAGACAAAACCTGTTGTAGATTTTCTATCCATCTTGTCGGAAGCATAATCTGCATCTGTATATCCCCTGAGAATCATATCCTCACACGGTTTGTATTTGATTCCGAGTTCCTCGGTGCCTTTTAAACAGCGGAGGACTTGCTTTGCAGCTTTCCAGTGAGTTTCGTCGTATGCGTGCATAAACTGAGACAGGCGGGACACTGCATATGAGATGTCAGGGCGTGTGCACTTGGCTAGGTAAATTAATGATCCAACGAGCTGTCGATACGGAAGGGTCTCGTTTATTGTTGCGGCTGGGACGAGTTCTCCTGCATGAGGTTGCATCGGCACATTCGTCGGGTTGCACTCCAGCATATTGTACTTTTCAAGCAGGTTACGGATGTAAAAAGGTTGTGACAAAAGTAAACCATCATTTCCATCTCTGATTATTTGCATCCCAACATAGGCTGTGGGCTCCATTATCGTTATTTCAAAGTAGGATTTGATTGCATTGATGATCTTCTGCACGGCATTTTTATCTTTTCCAATGACCAGTGAATCATCCACCCATAAGCTGAGATAAGTGATTATTGCATCAACATCTCCAACAAATATACAGGGATCGCAGTAACATGGGTGCAAGTCGAATTTCTCGAGAAATTCGGTGAATGTTTCATTCCAGGTTCTTCCAGCCTGTTGCAATCCATATAAAGCCTTGATCAGGAGGCACACGATGGAGTCATCTCCATTGTGGAAACCCTCAGGTTGTGACATGTATATGGTCTCCTTTAGAATCCCGTAGAGATAGGCTGTCTGGACATCCAGCTGTGCGATATGCATTTTCTTTGCTGCAGCTATACTTAGTAGAAGTCTTATGGACTCGTACCGAGATACGGCGGAGAATGTCTCAAAATAGTCGACGCCTTCTTTCTGTCTATGCCCTCGTATGACAAGCCGGGCTTTAAATCGATCAATTGTTCCATCCATTTTACGTTTAAGCTTGTATACCCATTTACTGTCAAGCAATCTTGCATTGGCTGGCCTCTTCACGTATTTCCAAGTCCCATTTTTCTTATGACTTTCAATCTCATCTTGCATTGCCTTTATCCATTCTTCCTTCTCTTTAGACTCAACGGCTTCTTTATAAGTTGAAGGTTCTTTGTCTGCATAAATGGCATGAGCTTGATATCTATCTGGTTTCTTAATTTTAGCTCTGTCTCTTAAATTGCGAGTGGTTCCTGATTTTTTACTTGTTTCAGGCAAGACAACACGTGTCGTCCTTTGCGATGGAATGCGAGCCGTGTAGTCTCCTTTTTCAGTTTTAACTTGGACTTCTAATTCGTCACCCATTTTCTCGTTGTCAGGTTGTACTGGCTGTGGGTCAACTTGATCAGGCTGTGGGTCCTCGGGATCGTATTTCTCCTCGTCCGTCCATTCTGCATCATCTTGTGCATCATCTTGTGCATCATCTTTTGCATCATCTTTTTCAGATTTGGATTCATCAGGTTCATCTCTTTCTTCTTCGCCATGTATCATTACTGTCGGTTCAAAAGCTTCTTCGTGGAAAGATACATTTCTTGCCTCAACCACTTGTCCGGACTCAGGGTCGTAAAGACGATATTTCTTGCTCTCTGATGCGTACCCACACAGGATAAGTCGCTCTCCCTTTGCTCCCCAGACCGTCCTTTTCTGGGCTGGTATATGTGCAAATGCTACGCTACCAAAGACTCTCAAATGACGGAGTGAAGGTTTCTTGCCAAATATTGCTTCAAATGCGGTTATATTTGGACTTTGCTTGTCCAGTATTCGGTTGTGGACGTAGACGGTGGTGGCAACGGCTTCAGCCCATAAAGATTCGGGTAATTTAGCTGCCAGCAGAATAGTTCGAGCACAGTCTTTTAAAGTTCTTATTTCACGTTCGGACCTCCCATTCATTTCTGGATTGTAGCTGACGGTTGTTTCATGAATTATTCCCCGGTCTCTGAAGTATGATGCCAAAGTAGAATTACAGAATTCTCCACCATTGTCTGAACGGCATATCTTGACCTTTCTTCCTGTTTGATTTTCCATAAATTCAATGTAGCATTTGATACGATCCTTGGCTTCGTCTTTGCTCTTGAGAAAATATACAGTGCGGAAGCCAGTAGCATCGTCTTTCAAGAGTAAGAAATATTGAGCTCCTCCCAGGGATGCAACAGGCATTTTTCCGGCTAAGTCCATATGGACCATTTCTCCTGGTTTTATCGTTGCATTTCTTGTTGCGGCTGGAAATGGCTTTCGAGATTGCTTCCCAATCTCACAGTCTTCACACATAATTTTATGTGACACGGCCTCCAGGTCAATTCCACGAACTGCGTCTTTCTTGATGGAGTCCACCACATAGTTCATATTAATGTGTGTCAAGCGTTGATGCCATAGTTTAGCATTAGCCACGGGATGCATGTATGCAGCAATAATTTGTGAAGTGGGACGAAACTTCATGACATACATATCATTCTTGAACTCGGCAATTGGCCCCTTAAACCGCCCATCCTGATAAAATGTTGCTCCATTCTTGTCACGGACGATGGAGTACCCTTTCTTAGCCATTGATCCCTCAGAAAAAAGGTTGACAGCCCCTTGTATGTACAACACGTTATCTATGGTACATTCCTCCCATATGCCGTTGATGTAAGCGTCAAGTGTCACTGTCCCTTTTCCTAGTGCTTGTGTAGCCCTTTTGTCCGTTAGGAAGACTGACTTGGGAGTGTCAAACTCTTCATATCTTGTAAACCATGCCTTATCTCCACAGACATGCTGGTTAGCTCCAGAATCGCTTAGCCACACTTGTTCAGCCACGGGTGCTTGCATGGGGGTTTGTATTGCATTTAGCATGAACGCTTTCCCAGGGCTTCTATTGGCTTGTGCGGGATTATCTGAAGGTTTATTGCTCTGATTTTGTGGATTACTCCTGCATTCCCTTTTCCAGTGGCCCTTTTTCCCACACCCATGGCAGGTTGTTGCCTTTTTCAACTCTTCAATGCTCTGTTTCTTCTTGCCTTTCTTCTGGTCATGGGTCAAGAATGCCTTTGCTGCATCTTGATTGGTTGCTGCTGGTTTGGATTCCTTCCTCTCCAACTCCTCCTTCTTCAGACGGGCAAGTAGCATTATCATGCTCTGGTCCTTATCCGGAACGCTGTCCCATGCCTTTTTGAAGGCATTATACTCCTCGTCGGGGAGACTTGAGACAATCTTTGTGACAATGGATGCTTCAGGCATGACGACTCCCATTTCATTTAGTCTTCTGCCCAGCTCTTCCACCTCTGCAAATGCTTCAATCAATGACTGACTCTTGCCAATTTTGTAATTGAAGAATCTAGCCATGGTATGTTGCTTGTTAAGCGAGCTTGAATCTGAATTGATGCTTTTCAGCTTGTCAAACATTGCTTTTGATGTAGCGCAGTCATAAATATGATTTGTTTGAGTGGCACTGAGAGTGGGGACAATGATGGATTGTGCTTGTATATCCTTCTTATCCCATGCTGGCTGTTGTGCTTCATCTGCAGGTCGTTGGGTAGTGCCGTTGACCACTTCCCACAGGTCATGTGACTTGAGAAGTAAAGTTATCTGAAGTCTCCACCTCGCGTAATTGGTGTCGTCTAGCTTGACAATGTGCGTAACATCTATTCTTTTGATTGTTGATGTCATCTTGTCGTTGTGGAGTAGGGAAAGCAGAAGCGAAAAACAGAAATAGACTTGTTACCTTCTCTTTGCCTAATAAAGAGCAGTAGAATCGAAAAAGGTCGAGATTTGGTAGACGGGAACTCAGGATTTGGGTAGAGTGGTCGTCCTCAATAAAACTCGTCCTCGGGCGGAAGGTTCAGCTTCGGGTAGAGTCAAAGGGTTGATGTCTTTTGTCCAAACAATGGTCCAATTCACGGCACACTTTTACAGGCTTACTCCGTCCAGACTGGCACTGGGCAGTGGAGACTTACTGCTATTATTAACTGATGAATTGACCTTTTCACTTCACAACAATAACACTGATCTACTTCAGTTTATCAAGTGTTGAACAGGAAACAGTTCTTCTCGTTGTGAGACTTTAACAGACTCTGAGACTGGGGCACTTTTGAGACACTCAATGAGGCAGGTTGAGACCAACAATATGAATCATACAAACTAACGGCTTTGCTACCATGAAAGTAAAAATGATCTCGCTGGAAGATATTTTTAGACTGATGGTGATTTTTATTAAACAACTTGGTTTTAAGGTTTTGACAGTACATAGGAGACATTCATACATATGTAATAATATGTGGTCAGAAGTGACCATACAAACTACGCAGAGTTATGCTCAAACGAAGTGTCCCTTCTAATGAGGCATAAAAACAAAAGGACCCTTTTAATCCCTTGTCCTGGGAAAAAGGTTGGAAAATGCTCAGCCCTCATAAAAGTCGACAAACTTAAAAATTGATAAATATGGAAAACTTTGTTAACATGCATATTTTAACAGTAGACCCCATGGCGACGGAGGGTGTGGTTATCGGCGCTTCTGCCAATACCTTACCAATGCACGCCATGCGACATATCATTTTTCTCAGGCGGGTTAATAGATTTCAGTGACGTATTTCAAATGTTAATATGCCACACCCCCTGTGGGTGTGGCTATCGGTATCCAATGGATAAATTTAAACCTGGTCATGTGACATATCAATTTTCTCAGCTCGCCAAGGGGATTTCAGTGACGTAGTTAAAATTTAGTAAACCACACCCCCTGTGGGTGTGGCCGTTGGTAAGCAGGAACTAACTTAAACTTGGTCATGCGACATATAAATCTTCTTAGGACGTTAGCTAGATTTCAGTGGTATAGTTAAAATTTAAAAAGCCACACCCCCTGTGGGTGTGGTTATAAGTATTCGGTGACTCTAACTAAACCTGGTCATGTGACATATCAATTTTCTCAGCTCGCCGGGTGGAATATCACTGACGTAGTTAAAATTTAGTAAACCACACCCCCTGCGGGTGTGGCCGTTGGTATGCAGTGAATCAACTTAAACCTGGTCGTGCGACATATCAAACTTCTTAGGACGTTAAGCAGATTTCAGTGATGCAGTTTAAATTTAAAAAGCAACACTCTCTATTGGTGTGGTTATAAGTATCCTGTGAATCTACTTAAACCGGGTCATGGGTCATCTCATGGCTGTTGTCTCACCTCGCCAAGGCGACCACCAAGGTTTGCAGGTGCATATCTAACTCGAATTAAGTACTCTGATTATTATTCATTAAATTTTCTATTTATTTCGAATTTTTGTTTATGATCTAAAAATCATAATTTACAGCTTAACTTGGAGTTAGATCAAATTTGTATTTTTTGCGTTTCTGGCATTTTGAATCGATGTTTTTTGATAAATCTTGATAAAATTCATTAATTTAACAAATTGATGTAACATTGTAGGTAGCAGCACCGAATTCATGAGCTACTTCGGTTGATTCGAATTGTCTGTAAGTAATTAACGTTAATACAATATTTAATAATAATAATAATAATAAGTAATAAGAATCAATAATTAGAAAATAATTGACCTAAACCGACATTAAGGGCTGTGCCATATATATGTATACACAGCTAGAGAGAATTCAACTATTGTTACCAGTCTAAGCATCTAATTATATCCTTAGATATATTATTACATTTGTACACTACATGCACATATAATATTATTATTACATATTATATTACTAGACCGTTAAAAATGTGATAGGGATAATTCTATTTATGTGCATTTTGCCATATCCACTTGACCAAATGGAAGCCTTCAAATTTGCTTAAGTAAGGGAAGTTAATAAATAAATATGCATATGTATGGCAGATAATTTTAGTGTACAATTTATACCAATATGCGGTTACAACGACAATAGTAATATTAATTTTAGTAAGAATTCCGTGTATGAACCAAGCTAAATGGTTTGTTTTGTTTTTGGAAATGTGTGTATTTTGAATATTAATCAACATTGCAAATATTACATTTTTATTTTGCACTTATTGGAAAATGAATTCTGAAAAATTTATGACGTCATGCTTCACACCTCACAGATATATGTATAAATGGGTCATAGTTGTAATACGTCTGAATATTTATGTGTACACAAGTTTACAATGCATTACAAAAAAAACAATCGAAAATTCAGTATTTTAACATTATAAATATAAATATGCAATACGAACATCAGTTCAACGTTTTTGCCCAAACAGTTAATTTGTAAAAATGTGTAAATATACACTTTATAATATAATGTAATAAATTTTCAAAACATATGTACATAGTCAAATATTTAAATTACCACAATAATAGCAATTTAACTGTTCCTTTAATGCACAATATCATCATTCTCAATGAAGTCAGTATATCTATAAAATTTCTGCAGAACCTCACCTTTATTTGTGAGCATTCACGGACCGAACTGGAAATTTAAGAATTTTTTCCATCGAAAAATTTGCCATTGTAGCGTGACATTTCAACCACCCTGTATATCAATTTAATTTATGCCAAACTTCTTTCATCAGCACCTCATGAAATTACTTTTCATAAGGTTTTCAAATTTCTCATCCTCTTGTAAATGTCTTGATAATGAATGGCAGATAGCATTCGAAATATTGACTTTTCCACTAAACTCCGTGTAATTCAATTATTAATTACTTTTCTCAATGAAAGGGTGAAGTACATTATTAATGTGAAAATCAACATCAAACGTGCCACGCTAACGCATAATGGTACCTTTTTTCAAGCTATACGGGGATTGTCTAACCAATCATATCAAAAAAACCAAGCCAAAAATTAGGAGTCACATGGCGCTTATAATTCCGTTGAATGGCCACTGCGAAGAAAAATATTGGGGGTCCAAGTTCCCCCGAGCGCCTAAGTTATCGCCTTGTGGAGAGAAAGTTTACTAAAAAAATTTAACTTTGTCGCCAATATTTTTCTTTAAAGGGGCCATTTAACGGAATGAAAACCCCAAATGGTTCCTAATTTGTGGCTGGGTTTTTGAGATAACTCGCTAGACAATTACGGTGTAGCTTGAAAAAAAGGTGCCATTGTTTGTTAGGGTAATTTATAAGAAAATGTCGGATTGACGTTTTCTTTGTAATGCAAAAAATCCGACCAAGTCGGATCGAGAAAATGATACTTCAAAAAAATTAAAACGATTCCTGACAATCATAAAATTAAAAAGTTATGAACACTAGTTTGGTAAAATTTTAATGAGGTTGAACGGGGTTAATTTTTCGCCAGGGTTGAATCATACCTCAAACAAATAGACCTCGCCATACAGATCCCCATAAATCTCAGCACAATTAAATTTACGTATGCAACTGTCATAAAGAGACCCTAGAACAAACAAGGGGAACGTAATTTACATTCGTTTGTACATATTAAAATTTGCACACATTCACATAAATAATATCGCAATTTATTTACGAGTGTTTTATTACTTTATTATTTAATGTGTCAAATTCAAAGTTATTCCTGCTGGCTAACCTGAGCTATAAATGGTTCTCTACGTAAGATAAATGAACCTTTTTTGCACATGAGTCATCCTTTCGCTAATCCCAAATCAACATGATGTCATACATATGTATTTGACAGCACATCATGTACATAAATAATATTTATGATGCGTCACCTGACTTTGAGCCGAAAGACATAATTAGCTGTTATTATATATGTAAAGGTTTTGAAAACAATAAAAGAGTTTGGAGAGTGCAAATTAAACGATTTGTTTGATCCGTTTCATCATTTCACAGGATGCCGAAACTAATCTCTACTTCCTATACGACTTTTTAAATACACATTTCCTGCTTAATTATGTGGTAGATTACTAAACTACAAATATATTGTCGTCGATATAAATAAGGCTGGTCCTCTGAGTACCAATAGCAAATGGTATCTACACGAGGAAGACGTACGACGTACATAAAAACTAAACTTCAGCTCAAATCAAATTGCCAAATAGATTGAAATTTCCAGTTGTTGAACTATATAAAATTAAAAACTGTAAAATTGAAATTTGCCAACTTACTTTTTCAAATTATCATATTTAATTAAGGGTTTTTTCGTGTATAAGTTGGAAAGAAAGGTAAGAAAAAACATCTGCGGCGCATGCATAAATAAATTCTGTTGCAATTATCAGTTGGAAGCTACATAAATAAAGTTGGGCCACTTTGGAGACTAACGCATGGTTTAAGTTCCAAATGTTGAATAAATCTTGACCGGAGTACATACCAAAATTTGAGGGACTAGTTGTGTAATTTCAAATTTTACTAAACCTTGAGAAAATTTTGCTCTACCCCAGCAATTTGCTCTTACTATAGCCGGACTAAATTTGACTCAACTTGGAGTACATTTTACTCAACTTTGACTATATTTTACTCGACCTGTAGCAAGTTTTTCTCAACTTTGTCTAGATTGTAGCTATTAAGATAATTTTCCCCAATGTTTCATTAACAAGATTATCTGCACAGTTTCTCCAATGGCGGACCAATCGTCTCAGTCCAACGGGGAGCCAATCTCTATCCTGAAGATAGCGAAGGATAAAATCACCATTGACACGAAAGCAATAAAATCGATCCTTGAGAAGATTGGAAATCACTATTTCACGATTTACTCAATTAACGGACCCAAACGGACTGGAAAGAGTTTTATGCTTTCAAATTTTATTCGATACTTGAGCCAAGGAAGTCCCCGTGGGAACGCCTGGGTTTCAAATTCTGGAAATATGACAAATTTTGCGTAGCGAGGTAAGAAAAGATATCAAGGAAATTGTGAATTAAGGTTGTTAAACTATAAATATCTCACGGAACCTTGTGGTTAGGATTAGACTAAATGGGAAATTTAGAGTAGAATCCTATAGTTTGCAATCCCCCTATTAGGGGGATTGAAAAATAAAGGTGTTCACACTAAACTTTCACGAAAAAGTTAAATTTGACGCTAGAGTAAATGGGAGACTCGTATATTAAACTTTAGTGTAAAAACCCTTAAATTGTAATCCCTCTGTTATCTGGGTATGTAAGTGCAGTGATAAAATGGAAGTGCAGGGCATGTAGGCCAATGCCATTTTTATTCTCATTGAGTAGGGTCTATAATGAATACATACAGGGTGGTAAAACTGTCACGCTACAATTGAAAATTTTTCAATGGGGAAAACTTGTAAATTTCCATTAGTTACCGAAATTTTGTCTCTGAAATTCGACTTTTAAGAATTTTGTCATCAGTGTTCCACCAGTTCTGATAATAATAAAAATCTCAACCCCAAATCCTGTACTAAATAATGAAGATTTAGCGGCTTTTCCCATTAAAAAATTGTCCATTGTAGCGTTACATTTTAACCACCCTGTACATATATTTTAACTTTACACAAAACCTGTGTTGTGTCAATAATTTTAATTTTACCAATTTTTGAGGCGGATCTGAACGTAAAACGATTGGAATTGACGTCTGGTCTGAGCCCTTTTGGACGACGCATAACGGACGTCGGATTGCCGTCGTCCTCATGGACACGCAAGGTTCATTCGACGACCAAACGACGATGCAGCAGAACGCGATAATTTTTGCGATTGCGACCCTCCTCTCGTCCGTCCTCATTTTCAACATTATGCGCGACGTGGGGGAAGGCGTTCTCCAGTTTTTCCAATTCTTCTCCAGCTTTGCTACCTTGACGATTCCGGAAGTCGAGGGGCAAGCTGCGAGTGGGGAGCGGGGGACGGGTGCCTTCCAGAAACTGGTCTTTCTCATCAGAGATTTTCAGTTCGTGCAGGATTATCAGCTCGGATTTTACGACGATAACAACGTTCCTAAAGGGCAAAAGGAGAATTTCAAAAAGGACAAGTTGGATTCGAACCCGGGTCAGCCGACAGAAGTGAGATTCACGCATGACCAAGTCGTCAAGAGCTACCAGGTATTTTTTTACAAATGAGTACATATTACAATTATTAGTCATATTGAATTGCAAAATGTGTTTACTAAAGCGTGTTGATATAATTCGTCCCGATTTTTCTCGAAAATTTTAAAATTATAACTCCAAAGCAGTCGAAGCTTGGCTTCTTCTGGAGAATAATACGATGGTCATGATTAGAACTTATCTTTATTCAATGCATGGTGAGATTTAATAGACGAATATACCTTTGTTCGAGGTTATCCTGGCGTAAACCCAAAATTCGGGCCGAATTAATTCAACACCCTTTATATATATATATATATATATATATATATATATATAGAAACTCACAAAATGTATGCAAATTTCTTCCCCAGGATGTCGGCGTTTACCTAATGCCCGAACCTGACAAGGGATTAAAGCAACTCGACACTCTAGAAAATTTGAATCCCGATTTTGCCTCCCACGTCGGCGCCTTCGTCTCCCCCGTGCTCTCTCCTGGGCATCTCGTCACAAAGAAAATTAGCGGCGTGGAGGTGACTGGGCTGGACATGGTGAAATACGTGACCTCCTGGGCCACCCTGTTTGAAGGGAGTGACCTCCCAGAAATCAAAAGCGTCTACCACTCCGCCGCCGAGAGCCAATTCATCATCGCGAAACATTTGGCGCTCACATTTTACGCGTCCGAAATGCAAAAATTTCTCCAACAAAATCCCGACGGTGTGAGTGACACTGACCTTTGCGTAAAACATGGGGACACGGTCAAGGAATCTTTCGCCATTTATAAGAGCAAATCCAGAATGGGCGGGGCGGAAATGGATGCCAAATTTGGCGAAGAATTTACCTCAGAATCGGCCCGTCTCCTGGGCACGCTGGAGTCCATTAATAACACTAATTTGAAAGCGGCCCAGGCCAACGAGAAGCTAAACAAGGCCCAGGAAGCGTTTCAGCGGGAGGCGGAAGCTCAAAGGGAGAGGGCGCGCAAATTAGAGGCGGCCCAAGCCAAGCAGAGGAAGGAGATGGAGGCGGACATTGCCGCGCGGAAGAAGGCTCATCAGGACTTGATGAATATGATGAAGGAACAAAAGAAGACGCAGGAACGGGCGGAGAAAGAGGCGAAGGAGAGGGAAGAAGCGCTTAAGAAGCGGTTGGACGAGGAGAGAGCGCGCGTACCAGGTCGTCAACAACCAAATGTTTTGCAAGATATAATTCAAGGAGTGGGAAGTTTGTTTGTTCCGGGGATGAAATTTTTTCGGTGAGAAGGAGAGTTATTAAATGGTAGGGGTTTAAAGAGTGGTTGTAATGCGGGGGTGGGAGCAGCTGTTCGAAAAGTACTTCTTCACTTGTGATGATCCTCCCGAAGGGGGTTCACTAGATCGACCCCACATATGGCTCACTCGTAGCATTGTGGCCGTGTGGTGGAAATCGGGATAAATAATGTACACGTTTCTCGAGGCAGATTGAGATGTTGATTTGGACAAGTTTTTATTCAATTCAGATTGGCAGGGTTGTGCGAGGTAAGGGCAGCAGCAGCAGCAGCAACAAGACTCGTCTTGAGCCCATCTCCCAGGCTCCCCAAGACTTGTTCTCCCATTGCTGTCGTGTACTGCCGTGACTGCTGTTTATATATGGTTGCTATACCTATTTCTAACCTACATATTGAAAGAGAGAGTGAGAGAGATAACAATGAGATGACTTGCAATAATTGCCTCACTGCCCAGAGGCGATCACGATATAAAACTAGAATGTGACAAATGTATCTGATTAAGATTGCACATAAGGAAACCTTCTCCTTGATTGTGTTGCACTCAATGTGCAACAATCACTTTCACAAAATAAACCTGTTCTTTACACACTCAATATTCAGTCAATTTAATCAAGGGGATAACAATTATTAATTTATTATTAATATATTCATAGTTTGAAGATAATTTAATGCATTATTCATTTGTTCAAAACTTAGATAAATGTTAACAAAGATAAATATTGATTCATTATTGGTGCTTAAGTAGTATCCTGACGTATTTCATGGGCATACGTCTAAGGATATCAGATTGCCCCAAATTCGAAGTGAACCAGGGCGTGTACTACATATGTAAATACATCGACTAAAATTCGAAAACCGGAAGTCGATATCTCTTACCGTTCTAAAATGAGGTCAAAAACCATGGAGCAATTCGCAAAAGCTGTCCCACTACCACAAAAAAGTGGTTGCATGCTCCAAGAAATTGATCTGTAACCACTCTTAAGAGAGTTGCAGTAAACCGCTACAAACGCATGTAACCAAGGGGTGAAACCAGCGTGTTTCCAGTTGAATAAAACCTACACAACCTAACTTGTTCAGGAAATTTCACCCAAGCAGTTGTGCAAAAGGATTACTCAACTAGGTTGCGTAAACTTTAACCACGGTTTGTGTCATCCATCCATCCATCCATGGTTTGTGTCATGGTTTGAGTAGCACGACGATACTCCAGCTGACGTGTTCTCCTTCGCTCTCTTCTCTTTATTTTTTAGTTTTGTAAAAAAATTTAAAGTTTTTCGCCACTCCCAACTCTACAAAGTGTAACAGCCCCTCCCCACCGGGACCAACTGCATAGTGGTAGATGAGTTTTTGGGATTTGACCGTGGGTGACCGTGTTTTTTGGACGATTTCTCTCCCTGCATTGTTTACATTAACCGGACTTCCCCGGCCTGGCGTAATGGACTTTCCCAAAATTCGGCTCTCATGTTCCTGCCTCATTTCGACTGGAGGAGATGAACCCTACATGATGCGCTCTGGGGGTGCTCCTCTTTTTTGCACTGAATAGTGCCAAATGTGACAAGTTTTATTCTTACCTCCATGAAATTTAGAGATGTCTAGAGTTATCCTCATTCTGTTAAGAATTATTGTTTTGCTCTTTATGTGCCTTGCTGACCTGCATCGTTGAATATCAAGAATTCATCATCTAATGAAAATGGCGGTCCCACCCATGTCAGTCAAGGACTTTATTCGTCAAGCTGAGCCCGAGACAAATGTAATAATTCTGGACGGGAAATTAGATCAACACAAATACCGTACGGTCTATTTTAAGTTAGATTACATAGTTTGGGATGACGATGAATCACTCGGTCCAGTCTGCTATCTTTGTGAAGAAATCATTGAGGACATCATGGATTCGCTTTTAAATAAAGGAACAACGTACTCTATTGTCCTCAAGGACCATTTCAACTTGGACGACACGAACAAATGTGCCCTTCAATGCATACATTGTTTAAATTATTACCACAAAAATAAGTGTAACATTTCTATTTCCAATCAATCATTTCTCAATATTCTACTTTCTAAAAACCGGACTTGCCCGAGATGTGTGCCTTCATTTGTAATTAAGGGAAAAGTTGATGCTGTAACTATAAATTATGACAAGCTATTATTGAAATTAGTGAGAATATTGAACCATTTATGTTATCAAGATACCTTTAACCTGGATATTACCACCTTTCTTATGGAAATTCAAGTTTCATTTAACAAACTTTTTGATAACTTCGGTATTGGATAATTTGTAATTTATTAATTAACTCGTTTTATCGTTTTGAGCTGGAATATAATGGATTTTAACTGTTGGTGTTATGCGATGGTTACTCTATAGCTGATCTATAATTTACGTGTCATAGATCATTTCGTGTTATTTTTCGTGTCATTTTGACGTGTCATTTGTGGAAAAGCATGATTTTGTGTAAACAGAGTTTTTATTTTGTAATGTGTTATAACTTGTAAACCAGTCTTATCGACTGAATGTGATTAACACTTGAATAAAGGTAAATTGAATTGAATCCTCTTTTTTACCTAATGTTGGGCAAAATTTTACACAACCTTGCAGAAACTTACTACAACTTTCTTTAGAGTGAAGTAAATTGGTTAGTAAAATATGCGACATCGATAATAAAATTTTACCCAAACAGCTGCCAATATACTGTCGTAAACTATAAAATTTATGTTAAGTATTTATTTATTGCCCGTGGCCAATGGTAATTGTTTTCCTTTGAGGTTTTTGAATATGCGTACGATGCTTATTTAACAATGGCGACATAAATTTTTATGCTTCCTGTGCAATATGTAATGAACAATATGTACGTAACAGGATTTCTTAGCTGGCCAATTTCTTTAATTATAATTACATAGATCTATTTATAAATTAGAAACTGAATATTTTTTTTTGTGGAAATCTTTCCGCAAAATGAAAACTTTTGCTGACAAGATTGGAATTATTTTGATTATTGGATGTTTTTCTGGTTGCTGGAGTGTTGACGGAAATGGTAATTTAAAAAACTCGAAACTATTTATTACTGTAACCTGTGTACGTAAATTTGAAGATTATAGGTTTATGAATAACTAAATCCACCCAATAAGTTCACTCTATTTCAGGTGTAGTTAGGTGGTACATATATAGTATCTAATCACATCCCACTTATCACAATTATTTTTTTCAAGTCAAAACCTTAAGTGTTTTAATTGCTACGACTTCAATTTTGACAACAATGTGCGTTTGTATGTATATCTATGGGCGTACATATATTATTAGCTCACCCTGCGTAGCATGAGAGCTATTGAATTCCTCTTGTCCGTCTGTCCGTCCGCCTGTCCGTCTGTCTGTTAACGACCTTTTTGTATCAATTGATGCTAATTAAAATGTACCAGGTCCATTTTTTAATAAATTAATAGCACCGTTGGTATCGAACAATCGCTAACAAAAAATGATGCGAAATAATTGGTGGACGCGATGTACTACGCATCAATACAGAGGGTGTCCGCAGTTTATATGAACAGTATGAATTACCTTATAACTTCTGAACACGATGGCTGTGAATTACTTTAGCGATCTAAATGTGTTCTCCATTCTTCTGTTCAGGAGGCATCTGGGATTGTGTTGTGACATTTTTTTTGGTCGGAGGATTCTCATTGAGAGGGACGCGGTCATTTTGCTTGAGGGTGGGAGAATTCGTGGTTTTGAGGGGTTTGCATTTTTAGATATACATTGGTCGGATTTAACTAATTACCATCGTTTTCTTGCAAAATTGATGAAGGGATATATGGGGGACAAGATAAGATGGGTTTCAGATTTTTGAATAATCGTTTTGGCACTTTCCGCGGCCAAATTAGCTTCGGAAACAGGTTTTACTATTCCCCCACTTTGGGGTCACTTTTTGGGGCCACCTTTGAAGATAGAAATTTGAAACTTTGCACAGGTGTTGTCATGACCTTCGAGTCCGTGCTTGCCAAATTTGGCGCCAATTGGATCATCCGTTCGCATGTTACCCGTGTAAATCTAGTGTTCATATAATCTACGGACATCCTGTAGTGCAGAATCTCCGGGAGAAAGAGTCATACAATTTTGACATAAAGTTTGCAAAATAAATTAAGGACGATTGGTCGCTCATGCTCCGCAGGTGGTGCATACTAATTCGCCCTTTTGATCATTTTTCCGTTTATATTGCACCCTTGGTGCAAGAATATATAAAAATTATGATCTCTTTTGTCGGCTTATTCCGCACCTTTGGTGCAAAGTTATGTCTAAATCATTATGAACCTTATTTTTTGTCGCGTTATTCTACACTATTGATGCAAAAAATCTCAAAATTCTACACCTACATAGATTCTATTCCGATTATAATGCACCATTGGAACCAAATTATAGAGTTTTATACTTGTTTTGTGCACTTATTCGGCACCATTGGTGCAAAATTATATATCTACATCCTATTTTATATTGCAGGGTGAGCTACTTCTAACGTTGCTACGGTTTATTATTGTATAAATAGCTACATAAGAATTAGCTCGTGCACCTAACAATCATATAGTGAGAACAAAAATACTGGGGGTCAAAGTTCATACGGTCTCTCTGCGTTTCACCCAGTGGATGAAAATTACTCAAAAAACTTAAACTTTGCGTCGAATATTTCTCTTCAAAGGAATCATTCAACCGAAAGATTAATTGTCATATAATTTGGGAGTTTAGGTTTTTTTATATTAATCTCTAGACAATCCACCTGTAGCTTGAAAAAGGTTCAACTGTAAGCTCGATATTCTTCTTTTATAGAAAAGCAAACGGAGTTGACTGGTTGGAAATGCATACATCCCGATAAAAATACCGCACTTTGCTGCCCAAAAGACTTGCGCTACAGCGTTTTCAACCTTACTTGGTGCAACCTTAAGGAAACGTATAGTGTGATTTACGGCAACCAAGACCAAGAATTCAAATACTGCTGTCGCGGCCATGGTTCCATGCCAATGTACCCTTATTATACCGAAAAGCTGAAGTTAATGGATGCTAAAATTGAGTCACAAAAGTCACAGATACTTGGGGTTGTCAGTCGCCCTCGAATGGAACATATCTCCCAAATAACACCAAAACGCTTGAATGTGCCGAAGAGCGGCGAAAGGTGCTGAAACGTTATGATTTAGACAAGGAAATTAAATTGAATTGCTCCACTTATAAAAACCTGGAAGGCTGTAGCTTTCGGAAGTCTGCACATGTATGGGATATATTCAAAGATTGCTGCGGTGGGGATAATTCAATGCATAGGGAAGTTCTGCCTAAAGACATCGACGCCCGAGTTAAGATCGAGTCGGACGAGCTTGCCGGGTACATAAAGTTAAATCCGACAGAGCCAGTATATTCATGTTTAAATAAAGATGGCACCCCGAACGATTTAACTCCTATCTGTGGGAAACTCACCAACTCATCGACCTGCTGGTCGAGTCGCGGCGGTCGCGTTTGGTGTCACATTAAAAGGAACTGGATCGAATGGGAGGGATTGAAATGGGAAGTGGTTTATATATTTTGGTCATGCTGCGGTAAGTGGAACAACAGCGACGAGAAAATAGCTAGCGAGGTGGCGCCCCGAGACAAGGTGACGAAAACAACGAACGTGGCAAGTACCAAAGCACCAACGGTGACGACAACTTCCAAGCCAACAATGACGACAGCTTCCATGCAAACATTGACGACGGCTTCCAAGCCAAAAATGACGACTACTTCCAAGCCAACTATGACGCTAACTTCCAAGCCAACATTGACGACGACTTCCATGCAAACATTGACGACGACTTCCAAGCCAAAAATGACGACGACTTCCAAGTCAACCATGACGACGACTTCCAAGCTGACATCCAGAACTGGTAAGCATACACCACGATTATGTCACGCAAATTTAACTTATTAGAGTGGACAACATTTAAGCACCCAAATATAATAAGGCTCAGACCCTAGTTTCGGATGATGGCATTGGCCCTATCTTTGAGCAGAGACATGAAGCATTTTTAATTAACAACCCCATGAGATACCAGAGTTCGAAACAACCCGAGGTTGTAAATAGAGGTATCTTGAAAACAACTACCACGGTGTTACGGCGGGGGCTTATCAACGTCAGAAATATCTTCTCGTGATAACTGGTTTTCTGGTGATCTAACCTCCTGCCGTAGTGAACTTATGCGTAGGCTTGACTTGGACTTATTGGACTTAATCTGGACTTATTTGCCTTAAATTGGACTTATTGGACTTAACTGAATTGAACTTAAACTGGACTTGGGCTTAAACTTGACTTGACTTAAACTTAAAATGCCCTAAATTGTGCCAAAATGCTTAAATCGGGGCAAAAACTCTTTACTATTATTTGGATAAGATATACGAATATAAATAACTAAAAAACTCTTAATTAAATTGCTTTATTTAATTAATTTAGCATTTATTCAATTATTTACAAAGGAGAGCAAAAATGGCTACCTCCTACTTGCTTACCTTCTACTTACGCACTTAACTTACTCATTCACACTTCCTTCTCTTCTCTCTCACGAGCAAAGACTCACGCTACCCCACGCTCCCTCCAATACATCGCAATGGCAACTTTTGATCGCATATTATAAGACTATGACTAACAATTGAACGTTCAAGTAATTTTTACAATAAACTAGAATGGTTATAGAATATCTGGGAATTTAGAAGAATTTGCCTTTATCCGCTATAGCGAGAATCTTGAAGTTATTGGGGAATCAGAGACATGGTTCCATCAATTGTTCATATACTGTTTATCCTTATACTAATCACTATTATTATTATGCCTCGCCGCAACACACGGGGTTTTAGAGTTGACTTTTCGAACGAATGTACTCCAAAAATAATCAGGCCTGAACATGGTTTGCATCCTCATGGTTAGATCAACCATTTTCTGGACAATTCCATAAAATGCATGTAACATAACTACATACACTCTTAGAAATGGGATTACGATTATACCCAAAAAGTAAACTGATGTGACTCTGTCGCCGTGGTTATAAATTTGTCATCGAGTAGTTACACTGATGTCAGGAATTATCCATCATTGGACAAGCTTATCGTTCAAATGTATATTTCTTAAAAAGTACAGTAGATATTCAAATACTTTTTTTTGTCACTAGTAGACCAACCAATTGGTAGTACAATGTCACGTAATCAGGTCTCAAAAAAATTTCAATATGGGGTAAAAATAAATTATCTCGCGGGCATTCAAAATCAACGTGTCATAAAATATCCATCTTTTTTGCTCCTCAGCTGAAAAAAAGAATAATTTGTTTTGGTAAGTTCTTTCTTTAATTTATTTTTGTTCTTAGATCATTTTCTTACGATTAACGAAGAAAACTTGTACAAAATAGGCTATGGGGAAGAAGGTCAAGGAGACGCCATTTGCAATTCGCGAACTGGTAATCAAGCACCATCAGGGCGATGCCAATGGGAAGAAAACCCAACAAGAAATTGCAAATTTGCTTAAAATACCTCGTTCAACAGTTCAGTATATAATTCGGAAGCACAAATTATGTGGACTAATTGTAAACAAGCAAGGAAGAGGTCGAAAGCCAATATTCTCTAAGAGAGAAAAAAGTGCCATTATCAAGAAAGTGAAGGTCAACCCAAAATTGACAATTTCTAAGATCAGAGATCAAGTTGCAAATGAAACTGGAAAACTAACCTGTCGTAACACAATCATTAAAGTAATCAAGTCTGAAGGATTTAAGAGTTGCAGAGCCAGGAAGAAGCCACTCATTTCAAAGGTCAACCAGAAGAAACGGATTGCGTTTGCAAAGGAGCATGTGAATAAGCCCCAAAGTTTTTGGAATTCGATCTTGTGGTCTGATGAAAGCAAATACAACTTATTTGGGTCGGATGGACGTGCCAGAGTTTGGAGAAAATCAGACGAGGCTCTAAAATTGAAGAACCTCAACCCCACCGTAAAACACGGCGGTGGAAGCGTTATGGTTTGGGGCTGCTTTAGCTACGCAGGGACTGGAGGTCACGAATTCTTAAACGGGACTATGGACCAACACGTGTACCAGGGTATATTGTCCCGTAATATAAAGCAATCTGTAGCAAGACTTGGTCTTGGGCGCCGCTACACGTTCCAACAAGATCGTGATCCCAAACACACTGCGAAGACTACATGGGAATTCTTCAAGAAAAACAAGATAAAAGTGTTGGAATGGCCCCCCCAAAGTCCGGATCTGAATCCAATTGAGCATTTGTGGGACCATATCGAAAGACGGATCAGAAACTATTATATTTCAAACAAACAGGACCTAAAAAATGCAATTTCGGATGCATTCGAAACTGTGACCCCGGAAGTGACAAAGACTCTCGTCGAATCGATGGGTCGCCGCTGTCAAGCAGTAATATCTGCTCAGGGTGGGCCAACACGTTACTAAAAATTACTTTTACCGATCATTTATTACAAGATTGTTAAAAATACGAAGTTAAATAAAAATGATGGATAATTTCTGACATCCGAATTTTGAAAGCTCGCGGTAGAAGACATTATTTCCCCATATTGAAATTTTTTTGAGACCTGATTACGTGACATTGTACTACCAATTGGTTGGTCTACTAGTGACAAAAAAAAGTATTTGAATATCTACTGTACTTTTTAAGAAATATACATTTGAACGATAAGCTTGTCCAATGATGGATAATTCCTGACATCAGTGTACAATTGTCGTCAACTAATTATAGAGTTTCGCCGCCTTGGTATTAAATTGTCACCAGAGGTAATAAATTTATAACCAGTTGGTGACAAATTCATAGCCACGGCGGTGGAGTCATATGCGTTTGCTTTTTGGTTACATTCGTAACCCCAATTCTAAGAGTGTACATTAATCTACCCGGAATGACTATGTATGTTGATATATAAACCAATGGAATTTACTGGTTGGAGATGTATATCAGGCGATCAAAAAACTACCTCCTGCTGCAGCGATGCTATGCGCTACAGCGTTCTTCTGGTTATTTGGTGCAACCTGGAAGGTACCTCGATCCTCAGTTATGACAAGAAAACGAAAGATTTTCACACCTGCTGTGATGGCGAGGGTTCCACACAAACGATAGAAAAATTTCCAGAGAATGTGGAGAAAGTGCTACGCATAGATGCAAAAATTAAATCACAAAAGTTGAAGATACTGGAAGATAAAATGAATCTCACAACCAGCGAAATTGAACATTGGGGATGTCAATCCTCTTCAAACGGTGTATATCTCCCAAACAATACCAAAACGCTTGAATGCGCAAAAGAGCAGATCCGGCCATCTTTTATTGTCGGGGGTAAGGAACATAAATTGAATTGTTCTACATATAAAAACCTGGCAAGCTGTAGATTTCGAGTATCTTCCGACGTATACAACGAGTTCGAAGAGTGCTGCGGTGGAAATAATTCAATGCATATGTAAGTTCTGCCGACAGATCTTGCCGCCCGTGATAATGTCGAGTCGGACGAGTATGCTGGCTACCAGAAGCTGAGTCGGACAGAGCAAGTGTACTCATGTTCAAATAAAGATGGCACCGCGTATGACCTAACGCCCATCTGTGGGAAACTTCCTAGCTCATCGAACTGCTGGTCAAGTTGTAACGGTCGCGTTTGGTGTCACATTGAAAAGAAAATGAGAGAATGGGATGGGGAGAATTGGGAAGGGATATATATATTTTGGTCATGCTGCGGTAAGGGGAACAAGTGGGAACAAAAAATTGCCAGCCAGGTGGCGCCCCGAGTTATCGTGGCACACACAAACGTCTCGATCGTTACTACTTCCAAGCCAACCATTGGTAACACATCTTTTCCTTTGCCTGCTGGACCTTCTTGCACCACAGCTTGTGTCAAAGGTTCGAATCTCTGCGGGATCAGTGTCACCCATCAAGGGACATTATCAATGTAAAAATTCCGCCGAAAATTCAATCAGTTGGGATTGCGAGGATGGAGAAGGGAAATTGTTCGAAATGAAAATATCTCCACGGGTCCCAAAGTAAACCAAGTCACAAAATAAGGATAACCTAAACCGGTGGTCATGATTCATAAATTGTGGGACACAAAATGTAAATTTGGTTTCGTGGTTATATTATATTTTTGTATGGATAATGCAAATTTAAAGTTTTCGTTCCTTTCAAGTTAAAAAATTGTATTAACAATCTTATATATAATCTGCAGTTTTCAAATTGTCATGAACTAGCTAAGTATCAAACCAAAGAACCTGCCGTTTCGCGTGAAAAATCCGTCCTGAGTACAAGGCTTTAAAGGCGGAGATTAAAACATATTTATATATTTCTTACTTTTATTAAACGGAATAAATTCACATAATGATTTACCAATTAGGTAAATGTATAATATTTAACAAAAATTGTCTCCACAGTTGCAATACCGCCTTCCACACACGTAACAAGCCCGTCCTCGCGCCCCACAAGCCCTGCTGCACTCGGAGGCCGTAAACCCACCGCAAGTCGAAGTGACGACGTAGTAGTACGTGGCACGCTTATTGATCCCATGGCTTTCTTGGGGTGCCTCATTTTCCGTGGTGAGAAGCAAATCCGACCGTATTCGGGAATCTCCAAGCGGATAGAGCGAAGCCTTAGCAGATCTTTCTGGATTAGGTGACCCATCCACAAAAATTTCGCCTTGGAAAAATACCGTCTAGAAATATTGGAATTAGAGCACAATTAACAACTTGTAAAGTTCGTTTACATAAATGCTCGCCATACTCATATCTGCGTGGAAAATCTGCATTATTCTACAGAAAATTTCTACCAGGCCAATTTTGCAGAATAATTTGTGCATAATTCTGCATAGTGCATACACACATTAATTTGTACGAACTTGACAGAAGAAATTTCAACAAAATCTCTGCAGAATTTCTGCAGTAAATTGATTCAAATTTTTATACGGGAAGATTTGTATTTATGTAAATTGTAAATATATAATTACATAAATTAATTTATTACCGTACAATAATAGAACTTTTTTTCTAAATTCCTGACCCTTATAATTTCCAGGGTACGTAAATATATCAAATTTTAACTAAAATCTAGTAAAGTTATACATATATGCATACCATTGCGAAGCAGATGAGGGCAAGGGCAAATTTTGACTCCATAATTATCTAATTACGGCTGTAAATTATCAAAGTCCTTCTTGGAAGCAAGACAAGTTTGAAATCAACTTTGCCAATAGGTAAAGGTAATGATATGCTCTTGTTTTTATACCCGGCGGAATCATGGTTCGACACTATTCTAAGGTAACGTCCGTGTATTACGTCATCAAAAAGGTGGGTGAGAGGTTTTACGTCGCGTAACCAGCACATTTTAAACTTGCCTTGAGTATCATAGGGAAAGGGGTAAGTTGGTAGGTAGTCAAAAAATCGGGGTTATCTTGATCACGCAATATATGGACGTTCCCTAGGTAAAGGCTGTGCCTATGTTTGCGATGGTGACGTTTTAGATTTTTTCTATGACGTACATACACTTATTCCTATTAAATTTGTTCAAGCTAAATAAGTGAAATTGTGCGTCATGTATGTATCCAGGGGCTGATAATTGCTGGCCAAATAATAGCCGAATATGTGTGTCTGCATGTGAAATGCGAATAATTGGGTACGCTTTGAGTTAGGAAAGACGTGATTTTTTTCAGAATGACTCCACGATTTTTTTACTTCAAATATTTGATATGTGTAAATAAGTTGAATGATTTTGAAGGACTGCACTCTAATTTAAAGTTGTGTAAAATTGATCCAAAGATGATGACAGTCTGACCAATGCTGCTCAACGGTTGGACAATGTTTGTGAAACCGCTGGATAAATTTTTCCCAATGGTTGGGTCAACCTCAACTTTGCGTGGATTTTGCACAACATTTATTTAGAGTGTACTTAGCCTAGCTAAGTGTTGTATGAGAAGGATGCTTATCGCAGGAAATAAGCTTTTACATCCAGTAATTACAAAGATGCATACCTACGTACATAGTAGCAAGTATTGCATGATTTCCGAGAAAAATCTTTATCGATGGGATAAAGAGGCCGACATGTGCAAATATTTAATCATAAAATGACCGTTTTCTATGAAATTTGTACGTATCATGTCACGTGTGACCTCGGGTAGCAAGTTTTAGCAAATATTCAATCATAACTTAATTAAGCTTAATAAATAGTAGCTTTACGTTTCTTTATATTTACAATGCCACCATCTATTTATGAAAAAAATGTCACAAATATTCACCACATACGTATGCATACACTGAGAATAAAATGTAAGCAAATTGCTACTGGGCGGTGTCTATATATGACCTCACCGGTTTGGTAGCGATTTGCTACGGAATTGTAGTAAATGTTCTACCATCTTGTAGCATTTCCTTACCCCGCTGTTACGGTTAGTCAAAATGTGGTAGCAAATTTACTACAATTCCGTAGCAAATCGCTACCAAACCGGTGAGGTCATATATAGACACCGCCCAGTAGCAATTTGCTTACATTTTATTCTCAGTGTACGTAAAGTTATTTATAAGTTTAATAATTAATGTTCTTTTCTGTGCTGAAGCGTGACCATACACCCCGGTTTTCAAAAACTGTCCCGGCGCCCGGAAACTGTTTCGGTTCTGATAAAGTGTCCCGGTTTTGATAAAGTGTCCCGGTTTTGATAAAGTGTCCCGGTTTTTAAAATCATATGAAACTAACACTAAACTAAATCATCTCACTCTTTCGCTAAAATATTGATGAAAAAGCAGATTTGAGCACAAATCCCAGTAACGTGCATGTAATATTTACTTATGTAATTGCCTTTCCTGTCTCTTTCTAAAGATTCGGTGACATCTGATCCACCGAGTTCTAAATATTATGGAAATTTTTTTCACCAAACACTAGATATTATGGAAATTTTTGACAAGTATGCTTTCACGACTACGAAAAGTGGAACAGAAACAATGTCACATCTCAATTCTCAATACGTCTCAATTTCAACAACATTAAAACAATTTTGAAATTGTGACGAATCTTGAAATACGCTATTTCTAACAGAAAGCTTACAACGGCCAAACCATCAAACAAAAAATATAGTTGAAAAGCAATGAGCAGATTTTCTAACGCCCCAATGCCTTCCTGCTCTTGTTCCGGACGTTTTCGGGAACTTTCTTCAACAACAAATTGCCAAAGTCCTTCGTACAATAGTAAAAGTCCGTTCGAACTTATCCACTGTAAATTACGGTATAATCCTTCCAAAATACTGAATTTAATTACAATTCAAAAGGGTAACATTATTTTTTAAGAGTGAACCTATCAATGTACATATTCGTACAATCCAACGTTGCCTTTTGTTTACCCTGCAGAGAGGGTAAAATATGTAAATGAAATCAACTGGAAAAACTCAGAATCAGTGAGCAAGACCTTCTCCCATCGAATATGACGCAATGTAATGAAAATCTCTCATAAATATTTTGTACATATGTACAGTACCGGCACTTTCAATTCTCTGTGAATAAATACAATTCTATACATGAATGAATAAAACTACTTATGGCACAAAGTAAGTATTTTACCGCGTAAAAATGTTATACTCATATTTTGCACATTTTGCACAAATATTGCAAAAACAAATTTGAAACTTTGTGAGGGAGTATTCCGTAAGGAGTGCTACATAATGGAACTTTTGCATGAGAACCGAGAAATTACAAATACGTAAATATTTACTGGGTCGCGACCAATTTTTAACACTATTGAAATAAAACCAATTTTTGAGTTTTTTTAATTTAGATATTCAAAAACAGTTGTTAGTAAAATTTAAAACAAGGCTTCGGGTAATTAGAAAACTGGTTTTATAAAATCGCAAAAAAGGGTTTGGATGCTTTAGATAGAACATTTTTATGTTGTAGAAATAATTTGTTCGCACACTGTACAAACATTCGTACGTACTTAAGTACATCCTGTCTCCACAAAAATGAAATCATTCAATTACATAAATTATGAACCGTCTGCTTTCGACATTTCGCTTCTCTTTACATAACAGAAAGCCATTCAGACAGAATTATTAAACCATGAGTGAAAGAAAACAGTACAGTTTGGAGATTACAATCTAAAATTTTTTTAGAGGGGGTTCAAGAATGGGTGTAACCCCTTTAATGTGGGCTTTCTTGGACAAGTTTGCATCAGCTTATAAGCGAATATGGAGTTGTCCCTTGGAATGGGACAATGCGAGAATAGAATATAGAATGCGTTTCCTCTTCAACCCTTTTTCTCCCAAGTTAATTCCTTACTTCGCCGTCGCCTTTGTCCTCCTCCCCACTCGTACTGCTCTGTTGCGCAGGTATCATTTTCAAAAATTATTTACGACTTAGTCCATTCTTTTGATTGATGTTGCCGCAGCAGGCTTGGTTTTCTTGCTGGGGCTTGGCGAAGTATTTGGGGAATTAATTTTTGTATTCGGATCCGAAAATTTTGTCTACTTCTTAATCTCGCTGATTCTATTGGGACATCGGCAACGAGGAGGTAGCAAAAATTTGAGCTGTATAAAATATTTACTGTGGGTATGCAATTTATTTTCAAACTAGTTTTTTTTTTTGTGCTTGATAATTTCAAAAGCCAAAAATTTAGAACTACCTTGAATTTCGTGCGGCACTTAGGCAGATGCAACGTTATGGGCGATTAGTGCGCCGAAAATTAGCGAAAACAGTTGGATTCCAATGGAATCTATGTCCTGCGGAAAATGGAACGTTTTCACGAACGTGTCTTCAATTATCCTCAAGTTCTTGAGATAATGTTTTAATATAAAGTTTGGAACCAGCCATTTCGCGAAAAGAATTCGTCCTGTCCTGATCTCAAGCCTTACATATTACCAAGCTGAAACGTCTAAACACAAATTATAATTTTTCCCTTGCAGCGGTTACACCCATTTTCAAGGATATCCTTTTCATCAGGACGACCCATAAAGAAAAGGACATTTACGGGATTTTGTTAAATAGTGTAGTCACCTTTTACAAATTCTATCCTTTCATATCAGTCATAGTCCTCACTTATTTTGAAAAAGATCCAATTCATCTAGTCCAGAAATATTTCTTCTTAACTGATCTTCCAAGTTACGATTTTTCATTAACCCTTTAACGTGTATGATTAACGACAAGAAAAGGCATTAAATCGGGGACGCTATAAGTATGTTGTGGTCATGGCGCGGGAGGAGAAATTCAGGAGTTTTTAATAAAACTCGAAAAACTGAAAAATCAAAAATTTAACATTGCGTTGTATAGGGAAATATCCAAATTTTTGGGAAGAAAATCTTCAAATTTAGCATTGTGTTGGCATAGGAGAAATCCCTCAAAATTACAACAAATTTTAGGTCGCGAAGAGAAAATGGTGAAAATCAATGACCCCCAAGAAACGACAATTGTCGTCCTTCCGCGCCATGACCACGATTTTTCAGGACGACTTTTGTCGTACTCCCGAATTAAACCATTTCTTTTAAAACGACAATTGTCGTCGTTACAGTTTAAAGGGTTAAGATAGATATATACAATAAGATCGTGTTTTTTCGCACTCGAACGATTTTCAAGTTTAATAGCTTAAAATTTTTGTAATTTTGTGTACATAAAGAATCTGAAATAATATTGGGGGGGGGCGCATGATCAGTTTTTGTGATACGAGCCAAAATGTACGACTTCTTTTGCAAATTTAGAGATATTCAAGTTTTGACTGAACCTTTGCTTTAGAATGACCGGAAATAATTTTAAAAATTATTTTGGACTAGAATTTGGCCGCTGCCTCGATTTCTGACCCAAATTTACCAATTTATTGAGTTTTGCAAAATAATTGCAATTTCGATATTAGTTTTCCACGATCGAATTATGGTATTTATTACAGGTTATTAGCGATTGTGTGAAGTATACCTCATTGTTGTAAATATACTTCGGCAACAAGCAATTTTAATAAGACTTTGTTAACACACTTACACTAGTTCGGATCACGAGTTCACTTTCCTAGTCCGTAAAGTTAAAAAGCCAAAGTATTTGCCGAGATGTTTTAAGAATTGTGATTTTGATTTACTTAATGATGAATTAGTTAAATTTGAATTTGTCTCGGAGAATGTTGAAGATGAAATGTCTCGGTATGATAAGTACTTTATCTCGCTGTTGGATAAATACGCTCCACTTAAGAGTAGGCTTATCAAACCAAAGTTGAACCCATGGTATAATTCTAATTTGGTAGCACTACGTAAACGTCGGGATAAACTACGTATTATTGCAAATAAGACTAGTTTAGTATCTGACATTAAGTTATATAAATGTATACGTAATCAATATAACTCCCAACTACATGCAGTAAATTAATGTCACAATATAGCCTACATCCTACATATGTGAAAATTATTAATAATTACTTTACAAATTCTATTTTCAAATTTACAAATAGTGATCATAATTATAATAATGATACTGGTATTATTCAAGGGGGGGTGGTTATGCCATTATTGTTCTGTGCCTACCAGGACGATATCTCAAAAATTATGTACTTGCCCTTTACCCTTTACGCCGATGATTTGTGTGTGTATGTCTCAGGTACCGATTTGGATGACATGATGGCTACAATGAAGAAACAGATCACTGCCATCCAAAAGTGGTACCTGGACAACAACATGCAGATCAATTACAGCAAAACAAAATACCAAATATTTTTTAAATCACACAACCCACTGCCTGTTTATTATATTGATATACCGATTACACTTGATGACAATACTGTAATTGAGCAGGTATCATGTTTCAAATACCTGGGTATTTACATAGGTTCTAATCTAAATTTCAAGATACATTTTGAGGCTATTATGTCACGTATATCTTGTAAACTTGGTTTCTTGTATGGCATTAAGCGTTTTTTGACGGAAAAATTACTCGCCATATTTATTAGTTGTCACATCCACTCAATAATCGATTATGGTATTAATACATGGGCTGTTAAAACTGATGTGCAACTTGACGCTATTCAAGCTAAGATTAACTCGTTCCTTACCAACTATTTTCTTCCAAATTATGCTAGAAAGATTGAGAGGTCGAAAAGGTATACTAAATTTAAGACATTATTTAGCACTATTAATCCATTTGATCTGTTAAACAAGTGTAATTTATTTACAATACTGGAGCGGCGTGATTTATTTTTGCTTAAATATGCTTTCCGCAATTTTGTTCCTACGGCTAGCAGTACATTCACACAACGCTCATGGCCCCTATTGGTAGTACCTCGATACCGCACAGCGCTGGGTCTCAATTGTTTAAGTGTTAGAGCGTTGAAATTGTGGAATTCACTCCCAAGATCATGGGAGAGTAACATTACATATCCAAAATTTGTTACACAATGTCGAGAGTTTATTATTGGTAGAAGAAATTCCATTTATTGTTAATTATCTAATTACTCATGTTCACGTTATATTTAGTTTAGTCTAGTTACATACATAAATATGTATACGCATTTTGTGTCATGGTTTGTAAACCAGTTTGTGATGAGCTGATATCTATTGACACTTGAATGAAAGAACACTTGAACTTGAACTTGAACTTGTTAACGTGAGTCACATCATACGTCACAACAATGACGTCAAAACCCCACATTTTTAGTTATTTCTCAGCTACCAGAAGGAATTTTGAAATTCTTTCTACCGCTATTTTAGATAATTCCATTGTGGTCGTACTCGAACATGAGATTCAATATTTCGATGGTTTTCAAAAGCTGAGGTAAAAGAAATATGTAAAAAGCATAAGACCACCTGTTATATTAAATTTGTACCACAGCAAAACTGGCCAATGGAAATGGAAAAATTTCAAAACCATCATCTTAATTAGCTAATTATCTACACTAGCCGTAGAAAGAATTTCAAAATTCGATTTCAAAGTTTCGGAAAATGAGTTTGAAATCTATGAACATGACTGTGTGTGTATGTGTGTAAAAGTATGTGAGAGCTGGGGTAAGGATTCGCGATTACATTAGCCGAATGATCCGAACGATTTTGTTATTTAACACCATTCTCTTTTAGTTTGGCGTAGAAATCATACCAAATTGAATAATTTGAACGTCAAAATAAAAAAAAACTGGTGCTAAGTAATAAAATAATTCGGCTCATTCGGGTAATGTAAGTCAAAGTCCAAAGGGGGATCCAAATTTCCCGCAGTTTAATTTACTCCATGAATTTTTGAGACAACTCCGTCATCGATAGGGACGTTAAAAGCTTAGGAGTAGAAGGTCACTACTTGTCGGGCCCCGATTTCGATCTCCTTTGGATATGTTGTAGTACTACATGAGTGTAGAAAAAGTGAAGGAGGGTTAGACTCCATGAGCCCAGTTACGCCCGCCACACCCCCTCAAAGGCCCCCAAACCCCCAGAGTTGCCGCACTAAAATCATCGCCAAAAATCGAGTTTTGGTCAGATTTTCAAAAAATTTACATTTTTGTGATCCCAGATAGTTGCTCTATCATATCCAATAGCAAACTCAATTTTTTTGAAATTTTCAATATTTTCGAAGATTTTCTGACCAAGGGTATGTGTTGAAAAAATTCGAAATTTCAAAAAAGTTGAGTTTGCTATTGGATATGATGGAGCAACTATCTGGGATCACAAAAATGTAAATTTCATCCAAATAACATAACCTATATAATTAGCTTATTAGAGTGTTCACTTGAATCACTGAAACACTTGAATCTTCTCGAAAATAAAATGTGTCTAAGAGCCCTAACCATACCATCTTAATTAAACTACATTGCCTTTTGGAGAATTTAAGTACACACATATCCGTATGTACATAAAGGTACAACTACCCTATATGTTGTAGTTATTTCTTTGAGTACTCTAATTCCAGTAAAACATCAAGGCTGGCATTTATGGATCGAAACCTGATTCTTTCACTTGGTTCTTGTTCCCAGCATTTCTTCATTACATTATAACTGCGGAAAAAATAATTACGTTAGATGTCCATCTAACTAACGTAATTAATATTTAGCTCCAGAACTCAATATTAATTACGTTAATCATAGTAGAAATGTAAGTTTCGTAACATATTTTCACTATGGTTTAAAAGGAGTGTACTGCCTGTCATAAGCATTTCATGTAAAACACTACTCTCATTTTAATGTTCACAGCAAAAACTTGTATTTGTCGATCACAAGTTTAATTAACATGAAATTTGATAATGATACTGCGCCCAATGGTCGAAGGAAACGCGCCCTAAAGTTAGAAAACTTTACACTTTCTGAAGTTACGAGGGATTTCATCTTCTTCGGATACAAAGATGCATGTCTGCTGAGGTTTAGCACTGGCAGGTAGTGTCATTTGCAAATTTAATGTTAACCAAATTTGTGACCTATTGACCATAGTTTGATCAAAATCGGACTACATATGATGACAGATATCCATTTCAAATTGTGAATCACTTCATACATTTCATCGGTGGCATATTGAGGTACTTGAAGGCGGAATCCAGACCTTAGGTACTTGACAAACTCAGGGCTCCATGTTATTCCTGCAGAGTATGGTACATCGCCCAAGCTGAAAACTTCCCACATAAATACTCCAAAGGCCCATATGTCAGAATCTGGTGAGAACCTTAGATTTTCTAAAGTTTCAATTGCAAGCCATCTCCAAGGGAGCGCAGTTTTCTACACAACCAATTTAGACAGGCATATTCCAGTTAGTGGGCCAAGTATGGAACAAACCAATATTTTTGTGGATAAATACTTTCGATGCTACAATGTACTCCTTATAGTTTCCATAGATTTGTCGAGATAGTCCAAAATCTGATATTTTTGCTGTACCATTTCCATGAATAAGGACATTTGGGGAACTTCCATGAATTACCTGGGTTGTTGCATTTCATTTAATAATGCAGTCACCAGTATAGTTCCTTCATGCTTATTCATATTAGCAGGTGGAAGTCGTGAATACTCTCTTAGATCCAAGATACTCCATCGCACTGCAAACCTGGCGACAAAACGTCAGTAGTTCGTATGTGGAAAAGTTTTTAACAAAAGTAGAAGCTCCAAGACATCCGGGAATTGTGTATATAGGGTTAAAGTAATTTGAACGATAGAGAGCTCTTCGTTTAGCTCGCAGAATCCCTTCCAGCGATCCACGACTGCAAAATTCAACGACAGCGAACACAATACCTGGATTCATTATTTTAATATTAATTATAATGGTAGATGTTGATAAATGTGTACTTTACCTTTCCTTAAATCTTTTATTTGTACGCCAAGTAATTGTACAACGTTGGGATGCCCTCCAGCGTAGTTCATAATTTTGATTTCTGATAGCAAAGCTGCCAATTTTGATTCACAGCTATTTTTAGTAACGGTTTTTATGGCAACCTCTGTGTATTTGTCTAGCATTCCTTTGTAGACAATGCCAAATGCACCACTGCCAAGAACAATTGAGTCAAAGATGTCCAACCGGTGGGCAAATATTTCTAACGTCTTAGGAAATGGTAAATCCGTTGGTACGTGCGATATACGCCGGGAATCGATACGTTCGTTAAGTTTTGAAGGAAGGATGCAGATTGCATACTCCTACTGCTTCGTGAATTGGCGCCATATTTAAATTGGTTATAGAGTTCAAGAAGTTTTTCGTTTCTCTGGAAATTATTTAATCTGAGGCCATTAAACTATTCAAATTGGCTTAGTTGTAAATTACTGTACCTTCTTCTGAAGTCTGTATAAAATGTAAGTTAGTGGTATTGCAAGTAAGCCCAAAAGACTTAACGTAGCACCTCCAGTAATAAGTAAAGTCAGTTTCCAGTCCATGAAATCAGATGAAACTGAGACTGTATAGGTTCTATTGGCAGAGCCAGCAATATTGCTAGCATCACAAATGTATACTCTGTCATCTGAGCGTTCAACAACTTGGAAATAGATTGTTGCCCGTATCGTCCAACTTCCATTGTCATCCTTAAACCTCGTTACATTCGAAATTAATCTATTGTTCGATCGGATTACGTAGTACTGTGTTGCGTAATCCCAAGTAAGAACGGGTGGAGGAACTCCTTGTGCAGAGCAAGTAATATTTTTCATCTGTGAAAATTCTTCAAAAACTTTCTCTGTTTCCGAATCTCCAGAAAATACAAAGAAGGGACTTTCTGAAAAGGCAAAAGTATTGGTGTTGGAAGTATATCGATAAATAGTTAACCTGATACACTCACGTGCGCAAACATTCATATAATCCTCTGTATACAAAGCACAATTTGGGTCATACTCCGGCCACTCATTAAAGTTGAAACCGGTCTGGTTGTAAATAAATTTTGAGCACATCACACTGTTTAGTAAATTGCCTTCAAGTAGTTCTGAGTAAATGTTGATTAACCGGGTTATTAAAATTTTTAGTAAACGAAATATGTAGTGGTACCATTGCATGGTCGGTCACAAGGATTTTCACTGTTATACATGTCGTAACACCATTTATTGCTGATCTACAAATGTTATTAGAAAATCAATATATTCTTACATAAATTTTTATTTGATAGTTTAATTACCTTAAAAATTCCGTAATAAACTAAGGTGTCGCATAGAGAAAATCCTACGTGGGATGCGTTGAAAGAAGTTGTGATCTTTGCTAAGCAGAGCCCTGTAAATACGTAGCTAAATGAATAATCCTTATAATTCCATTAAAGCTTTGTACTGTACTTATATATACTACATAGTTTAAAGCTACATTTTTCAATATCCATATTCCAGTCATATACATCTTGAAACAAGTAAGTTAGCTGTTCTGCAAGTTCGCACATAGTGTAAACTTTCCCAGACCCAGGAGGTTTAAGGGTTGTAGTTGTTGTTGACGGAAAGGGAGTTATTGTGCTAAGGGTTGTTGGGGTGGATGTTGTTAAAGACGATGTCGATGTAACAATGGTCGACGATGCCTGTTCTGTCGTACGACTTGAGAACGTTGTTTGCTCATCAGTCCAATCAGTGAGCTCTGACGTCGATGAATCTGTCTCAGTGGTTTCTTCCGTTGTCGATTCGATAAAATCAATTGTTGTGTCATCCGTTAACTCAGTTGTTGAAATACCCTCCAAAATCACTTCGACATCGAAAACCTGGCTTTCTCTTTCATACGTATTCTCAGCCTGACAGGTATACGTCTTACTATCCGATTCATTAACGGAAGTGAATGTCAGTATGGCAAATTGTTCGATATCGTCGGCGATGAAAGATTGCTCAATATGTGTGTCGCTCTCCTTAAAAGGTGTTTCAGACATTTTTCAGTAAAGACCATACGAGGTTTTCATAGTGAGTTGCTACTACCTGACCGTCCCACTGCCACCTTAGATTCAGCAATGCATAACCTTTAGCAGAACAGTTAATTTTTTCCTCTGAGGTTTTGCTTTCAGAGCCACCTTTCCCAACGACTACTGTTCCCCCGGTTGATGTGAAAGTTATTTCCCCTAAATAATTTGTAATGTGAACAATCAAATTAGTGAGTGATAAAATTATTTATATTAAACAAACTTGAGCACTCGTCGATGTACTCGTAAAGTTCTTGACGTTCACAATTATCAAAAGCCTCACGCCAGTATTCAAACTCATCATTATTGTACAAATAATTTGCGCAACACACACTTAGAGAAATGTCATCGCCTAGAAAGCCTAAAATTCCATAAATATTATCATCGCTAATGTGATGACTACGGGTTAACTGAACCACTGCACATTCTTATTGCAATGGTGCCTTACTTGAGCAGTCCGATATGTCGCACCCTTCCCCACATGATGTACACCACCTGCTGGCGATCTATCGAATCAGAGGATTACGAAATAGTATGTAGGTTCAGCATTATACATAGTTTTAGACAATTTTAATAACTCTTAGTATGCCGTAGTGTCCACTGGAGTCAGTAAAATCATCATAATCATCGCCATAGTAGATTGTATTAAATCCAGTGTAATACTCTGCTATACAAATCCCTACCATTACAAAACACAAAAACAATTATGATGGATATAGAAAATTTAACAAAATTTCACAAAAAGGTAAAAACAATTACACAATGGTATATCCCGATACCAGTGATTTGCTTCAATTCCCTCGTCGACAATTTCATAGGCAAACTCACAACGGTCAAGAATTCTCGCTTGAGAAATGTTCAGAGACGTTATTAAAGAATAAACAATAATAACGCCATAGAATACCTCAGTTAATTTAATTAACATCGCAATATAAAAGCGAGGAAATTTACGTATGAACTTGATGATGTGAACAATTAATCTGAATCAACTGGGCAAGGCGTACTTACGCGGAGTATAGATTACGAAACGTTATGTCAATTTAAATAATGAATTTTTTATCGCTAATCCACGTCAACTCAATCAACTTATGTAGCAGGGAGTAAGGGGATTAATTGAATTAATTTTCGACGAAAATATGCATCGAGTAAACGAATCAATCAGTTGTATGTATTGTTTGTGACACTTGAAAAAGTGGATTACATGTCGTCGTACTAATTCCGAAAAGACATAAGTGCACTATATGGCTAATTCCGAAACAACATAAGTGCACCCGATGCTTAATTCCGAAATAACATAAGTGCTTATGTCTTTTTACTAGTTTTTACTGTGCACTTATGTTAGTTCGGAATTAGCCATCGAGTGCACTTACGTCTTTTCGGAATTAGTACGACGATGTCTAATATCCATAACAGTGGCTCAGGAACCATACGGTTTTTCAATCTCCCTATCATTTGCCCATGCTTTATAACCCCCTACAATATTTATGTTTCCCGATGTCCCCGCCGGTTCCACAGTCACTTCTTAACGATAGAAACCTTGACATGTTCAATTTGGGGAGTTGACAGGCACCCAGCTTTACAGAGGTTGATAAATTTGATGACGTGAATAGGTTCGCTTTAATTTAAACTTTTAGCGTAAAGTTGTATTATTTAATTCTGCTCATATGTGCAAGATAATCCATCTAAACCTGGATTAAGTGTGACATTTGAATATAGAATGACTACAAAAATGATTGTTCCTTATCAGTTCTGACAAACCGGCTTAGTACATAATTACTTGAGTAGGAGCAAAACCTGTGACGAAATTGAAAAAGCCAGCATAGAGCACAAAATAGTTGCATGCATAATATAAGGTGTGCCAATAAATACTAAATTTATGTAATATCCATTCGTAAATTTACTGATGGTTACAGGTTTCATCAATTAAATAATTTTATAATAGTATGAGTGCCAATTAATGGCAACAAAAATTAAATTAAGCAAATCTGAGTACAATTAAAGAGATGGATCTGGTAAAAATTAAACCCTAGTCTGAGGAGGGGAGCTTGCGAGGTTGATAATAACAGATCCTGATGCCCTTTGGATATGTGGTAGGGTCCTATGAGTGTACTAAAACCCTGAAGTGGTTTAACTCCATGGCCACATTTGCGCCCGCCACACCCACTCAAAAATACCCAAAAAACGCTTTCACTCCAGTTTTCACTCACTCAAAACCTCGCCAAAAATCCAATTTTACTCGGATTTTGAAATTTCTTTCACCATTACACTCCCAGATAGTTGCTTTCTTCAATCCAATATCAAACTCAATTTTGCTGATGATTATTTCGCAGGGATAATTTGCGTTGTTGATTACTACAACAATGCTCATTCAGAATTTTAAATTTTAAAAATACTAAAAATTTCGAAAATATTGAGTTTGATATTGGATTGAAGAAAGCAACTATCGGGGAGTATATTGGTGAAAGAAATTGCAAAATCTGAGTAAAATTGGATTTTTGGCGTGGATTTGAGTGAGTGAAAACTGGTGTGAAAGCGTTTTTTGGGCATTTTTGAGTGGGTGTGGCGGGCGCAAATGTGGCCAAGGAGTCAAACCACTTCAGGGTTTTAGTACACTCATGGGACCCTACCACATATCCAAAGGGCATCAGGATCTGTTATTATCAACCTCGCAAGCTCCCCTCCTGAGTTTGGGTAATTTCTACCATTTCGATAATAATAGTGAATTTGGACAGGATGCATGCATGTATTCAAGTCTACGATTTGGAGCGAAAAACCCTTTTACGTATGGAAGATTATCTATCTTGGTTGGAAGGATTTTAAAACTGGTATTAAAACTGTAGTTATCGTCAAATACAAATAATTTGTTTTATTTGTTCTAACAATGCGATGACGCCAGCGGTCTCGCTCCGATTTTGACGAAACGACGATAATTATGTAGCCTTAGATAAATAATTAGACACGTGTTTCAGGATTTTTCATAATGCTCAGGTTAAACGAAATTATGACGAAATCTGTGAGCGAGAATTCCCATTTTCACCGTGACATTTTTCTGGCAAGGGAGAAAAATACAGATTCACCATTACGGAGTCCATCATAATTTCGTTTAAGCTTAAATTGCGTGGGCATGAAGTGTTTTTTCCGATTTTATGTTGCTTGTACAAATTTTGAAATTTTGAAAATTTTTGAAAATTTCTGAAAATTTTGAAAATTTCAGAAATTTTCAAAATTTTCAAAAATGCAACAAACCAAAATCGTAGAAAATCACTTCGTGCCACCAATTTTAAGTCTAAACGAAATTATGATGGACTCCGTAATGGTGAATCTGTATTTTTCTCCCTTGCCATAAAAATGTCACGGTGAAAATGGGAATTCTCGTTCACAGATTTCGTCATAATTTCGTTTAACCTGAGCATTATGAAAAATCCTGAAACACGTGTCTAATTATTTATCTAAGGCTACATAATTATCGTCGTTTCGTCAAAATCGGATCGAGACCGCTGGCGTCATCGCATTGTAAGTGTCCCCAGCCCTTTGGCTAAACAGTCTCCATATATGTATCGTCGTTTCCACGATCTCATTACTGGCTTTTGTTAATGCACTCTCAAATTTTCGAGATCATTTTTTTAATCAGAGGATACACTGCCAATTAGTGGTTCAGCAATTAATATTATATCACACTTTTATTTTGGCTTTGCTGCAATGTTTTATTAATATTATGTCCCGTTCCGAGGAAACCATCGGGAAGATTAAATCAACACCGTTTATATATTTTACAGATAGGAGTTACTTATGTTAATTTTGATGAAAAGTGCAACTATAAACATAGTGAAGATACACTTGAGAATTTCAACACTGATAGGTTACATAGTTACATCATTTACATCGTTTGGTTTGATATTAATGGAAACCAATTTATCCCACGGAAACTACCGACTTCAATTTCCCAGAAGTTTCGTACCTTGACTACGTGTAAAATAGTATTAATAATCACCTGATTAACCCTCAAAATTTTATAATTACCAAAACACAAAGGCTTTTATGGAAGTGAATACGTACTTTACTTCAGCACATAAATAAATCCCCACACGAATTAAGCAAAGTGCTGACATGCTTACTTTGTTCAATCTTTATTTGTACTTTACACTAAATTTCATACCTATTTGAAAATTTAATTGTAGTCAGTCTTTTTTTAATTTTGATGACAAGTGCAACATTAACTACAGATATATGTATGTACTTGAGACTTCCAATATTGACAGTTCCAGCATTTACTTGACTAAATTGTAAACCAGGTAACCTCACGGGAACTACGTATTTTAATTTCCTTGAATAGAATTTGTGTGGTTTCGAACCTTAAATACTTTTTAGGTAAACTGATTCATAATACTAAAAGTTTTATAAGTAAGTAATTGTTACAAACCCGTTGTACATATATCGAATACGATAAAAGGTTTCGGGTTCAGAAGAAAGATTTCTAAGCCGTTGAGAAGCACTTTATAGAACTAAATATGTACATATATATACGTAGGTATGTATGTATGTAGGTATGTAAGTAGGTAGGTACTTTACTTTCAGTGTATAAATACGCACATGAATTAAACAAACTGAAGAAAAGCTTACTTTACTCAAGCTTTGAAGTATTTGTACTTTACAAGGGTACTCATTGATAATCTGCCCACGCCCTAAAATTTTAAGTATGCTGGTGGCATGATAAAAACTAAACAACTGGCGTATGTAAATTTAGTCTCATTATTTTTGGCATTTATGAAAAACTTTGCGGCGAAAATTATCAACGAACTCAATACATAGCTTTTCGCTCATTAATTCTTGTTTGGAGTAATTGGTACTTGCCGATAGACCAGAAAAATCACTCAATTTTTACAATTCTCTGGTCTACAGTTAAATTTTTGATGTCAATAAACTAATTGTTATTGGATAACATTTTGTTGCAGCAAATCCGCGGACAAGTTTTG